TGAACTGAACCCATTATTTTTATAGACTGTTCTAGTTCCACGTGTCCTCAAGGATCCAGTGACAGGACCCAAAGAGTGTGAATTCAATACCCGGTTAAGGCAGTGGAGTACTTTCAGAGGGAAATTAACAGGAGAACTGACATCAATTAAGCATGGCATGTGAAACTAGAACAGTCTACCCCAGTGAGTGAAATAAAGGGTTCAGGTCAACATTCCAACCACCTGAAGAAGGCCAGAACGTATAACTGCCGAAACGTTTTAATAAATATGGCAACAAAGATGAGGATATTAATAGTCCGAATAATGTAAATAATGTAAAGTGAGATGCTTTAACTATGAGTTTCATTAGTATCATTTTATAGCAGATGTAAACAAAACACTGAGTAGTGCAATGATGTAAATGAGAACGACCTGGCCCGGGTAACGTCAGGTATCATTGCTAATTTCTTACAAGTGTTTAAAAAAAAAAAAAAAAAGGACATTATATATAAAAACTAAAAGTAGACTAGAAAAGAGAATATATTTATTCCTATGGTTTCTTTGTAGATTAAAAACATAGAAGACTAATTATTTTTTTCAGGATTATAAGTTCTTTCTCTCTTTGAAAAAAATGCCAATCATCTTGGGAAAAAATGTTTCTTGTTGATACTCTCAGATATTCTGTTTACAGTAAAGAAATACAGAATTGTAAATACAAGTTGACCATCACCAATCAGTTATTCAGTTCAATTAGTAACAGCAAGATAAACTGGAGCTAATATATACAAGAGCAATTTCAGATTTCCTTGGTCATTGCACAGAGATGACATGACGGTTTTAATGGTGCTAGTTGTTGCACCAGCTGCTTTCAAATACTGGTAAGGTATTTGTACTTGTCTTTTGTGCATTTTTATTATAATCTGAAGACATTTATCCCCAGTCATGGTCCCAACAAATACAACAAAGCATGATGTAAAGCACGTGTATTAAACCATGTCCATAACAGGATACTGACTTTTTATTTTGCCTTTATTAACTGACATGAATCATTTTAAAAGGTAGGATGAATTGGTTAGTTGTGAGGTTATATGTATTCTAACATAACCATCAACAATCAAGAAAAATCCCTTACCCAGCACCCTCCAGATCCCAATAGAACCAGATTAGTAATAGTCAAACTGTAATAATGAATTTTGTTAATTATTAAGAGACAGAGAAATAGAGAAGCAGCAATATCAAATTACTATTAGTAATAGTATATATAATTAGTGTGATTAGGCAGCAATTGGTCTTTTAAAAATGTTTCATTGAAAAGTATACACATTTTATGTTTATTACCTTTAACCATCGTTCTATCTAAATTGCAAATAATGTTCTGCAAACATGGCTGCATGAAATACAGGGTGTCCATAAAGTTTGTGTGTACTTTAAAAAAATTTATAACTTTATTTGTATTTACGATAGAAATAATCTGTAAAAGATGTTATAATACAGTGTTCCAACAAGATGGAGCTCCTTGTCACTTTGCTCTGCGTGTTAGAGAGTTTCTAAATCAGGAATTTCCTAACAGATGGATCGGAAGGGGTGGACCATTTTATTGGCCTCCACATTCGCCAGATTTGACTCCATTAGATTTTTTTTATGGGGACATGTGAAAACAATTGTGTAAGCAACCAAACCTAGTTCATTAGAAGATGTGAAAACTAAAATAACTAATTTCGATTTCAGGCATTACTGTAAATCAGTTGGCAAATGTTTTCTGTGAACTGCAAAATCATATTATTCTTTGTATTGCTAATGATGGAGGACATGTGGAAACTTAAATAAAATTTCAATAAAACCTTAAAAAATATAGATTTACTTCTTTCTAATCCTTTTTACAAATTATTTTTATCACAAATATAAATAAAGTTATAAATTTTTTGAAGTGCACACGAACTTTATGGACACCCTGTATTTAAAATTAAGGTTGTGTCAGAGTTTTCAACTTACATGACTCATAATCAGGGGTGTGTACAAATAAAGTAAGGTGAAGAAAATCAAAATGTTTTATGTGGTACATTTTAAAGTGACATTATATTTACAAATTGAATTGGATATATCCAAAAGCAGGACACCTATTTGGCTAAAAGTGAAAATAACAAGTGTGATGATAACGTCTGTCATGCATGATGACTTTTTCTTTTTTTTCTTTTTTTTTTTTAATGCATAAGTAAATACTGTGTGCAAATTTCTCTTCCGAGGGGTTTCTAACTTATCATCTTTCAGTTGCATCTCTGTCTTTGGGCAGAGTGTGCTCAGGGGTTACGCTGTCAAAGGACAGAGTTGCAACTCAGGAAAATTATACTGAAAGGTGTTCAGCCTTGGGGAACAGCTGCTTGAGGCTGCGCCCTCTCATGGCACTAGAGAGAGGGATTGGTGCTTGCAATTTTTGTTCCTGGACCAGGTGTATGGGATCAAGTAAATACAAATTGCTCTCTCAAGTGGTTTGTAACACCCTATTTATCATCTCTCAGTTGCGTCTCTGTCTTTGGGCAGAGTGTACTCGGGGGCGACTCCATCAAAGAACAGAGTCGTAACTGAGGAAAATTACACTGAGAGGTGTCCAGCCCCAGGGAACAACTGCCTAAAGCTGAACCCTCTCATTGCACCAACGGTTGCAGGTGCAGCAGGTAATTTTTATTCCTTACCCGAGTGTACGCGCTTGGGTCTCCCACCTTAAAAACTGACCTTGTGTCACAACTCGTCTTAGTGGGGAGACAGAGTAAATACCTAGTGTGTAAATTAATATAAAGTAGAGTTGGGGCTTTTTAATTTCAGAATTCGTGGGAGAATTCAGCTCCAATTTCACAATTTATTCATATAGATTCCATAATATAGGTTTTACTTAATTAGCTATGATGTTTCTCTAACTCTTCAAATGTTGAATGTAGAACTAATTCTAATTTCTGTTTTCCCATCTTTACAATATATTTTATCTTGTAAATTGTCCCCTGTTCTGTGATGCATGAAATAAAAAATAATTGTTTGTATGGAAAATAAGAATCTACGTACATCAAATCATCTTTAAATTAAATGGCAGAAGAAAAATTATCATTGAACTTTTAAAAGATAAGCTTAAACATTAATTCAATACTTAAATGCAGCAATCAATTTTGAATTCTTCTGTAGCTTATTGACACATATTGCATCTACTCCTCCCTAGCTATTGTGATTATGGCCAAACCAAGAGTCCTCCAAAGGAGCTAACTTAAATGCTGCCCAATAGGGTGGCATTTAAGCTAGTTGCAATTCTTGATACAAAAGGAAAATAAGAGTTACTCTCCTTAAACTATGAAAGCAATGATAATGGCTAGTATAATATATTAATATATATTTTCAACCTCAAATAATCTGGCAACCCTGAATCTGAATTCAACAAAAATCGTTCCCTGTGCCTAACTTTTCTAAGGCTTTTGAATGAGCAATGAATCATTGAAATTGGACCAGTGAGAGCAAGAAGTTGCTTGGACACACACATGCACACACATACACTGTAATTTATATATAAGATATTGCAGAACAGGTATATTGACATTGACTTGTATAAAGATACGTATGCTTGGAACACTGAATGATTTTAAAAGCCTAAGTTGGCACATACTTAGCAAAAGGTTGTCGACCCCTGATTTAGATGAAGTAAAGGTTTCAGCAATCTTTACCCACTTCAAATAACCCCCAACACTATTTTTGTTCCCTCATCTCTCCCTTTTTTAGCTAAGCAATTTTTTATGTATTAAATAAATCTTTCAAAATAATTTCTTCTTCCACAAGTTTTTCTCCATTATCGAAACCACAATTCAATAAAAGATTGCTCGTTTGGCATTCAGTAAGTGATTATTTGAAAAATCCTTGCTCCATCAAGATATTTTAGAATTACTTACAAATGTTTTTCAGTGTCTCATGCAAACCTCTTTTTATTCAAACACATACTAATTTGTAAATTATAGTCAAGTTTTGATGCTCCCTCATCAAGATTCTGGTGAAGTTATGATATTCATTAACATGGAATCTCTTAATTATATTTACTTTAAAATGTCTTTAAGAACTCATGGCAAACTGCAGCACAATGATTTATCTTTCAAAGCCACCAAATTTTGATAAATTCAATCAAGAGTTTTGTAATCCACTTAAAGCAACCAACAAGATATTTTCTCATATTCAATTTGTTTACAGTGAATTTAAATATAAGCCGAACACTAATCTTCTCATAAAATGACTAAAATGAACCAGAAAGGTTATTTATAGAGAATAAAATATTCACACAGTGAATATAAAAAATACTGACAAAATTTAATGCAAAATAAAGATTGAATATATTTTAGAGTCAATGAAGCAATTTCCTGATAAGTAAACATTTTTTCTAATCAGGTATTCCAATATCATTTATATACAAATTGTCAGAACCATTTCATACAATGTTTAACACATCAGAACAAAACACTGACGGTTTCTTAATGATAAATGTTTATGGACGGACAAAAGAGTGAGGTACTGTTCTGGTGAAGGTCCCAAGTTATAACTAAACTTGCACGAGCAACATGGACTGGGGATCATCTGCATGCGTCTTCAGGAAGCTGGGAGATTTATTAAAGCATTTCTCAGTGTGGTACTTGAGTGATGAACGCCACTTATACACTTTGTTACATCGTCTGCACCGATAGTGTTGACTCCCGTGCTGTCCACGCATGTGTGTAGACAATGAGTCTTTGCTGGAACAAGTTTGTTCACAGATCTGACAACGATACAAGTCTGTACATTGGTTTTTGGTTCTCCCACAAAACCTCCGATGCATAACCAAACTCTTCTTAAAGCGAAATGTCAAATTACAGCGGTCACATTTCTCAGCCAGAATGCTATGTCGATCAATATGGGTTTTATACGTCCAGTAACTATCAAAGCCACGCCCACATAGTGAACAGTTGAATAAAAATTTCCCCAGATGTTTTGAATTCATATGACTCTGTAAACCATATTGTGTCTTATATCGCTGCTACATTGCTGACAAGAGATGTTTCCAGCACCTTGCTCAGTACTGTTAGAGTTATTTTTTGTGTCCCAGAAGACTGAGGTAAGAGTGTGGTCTGTGGGACTGGTTGTAGTTGAAGTGGCGGTGTCATGCCCAGAGAAATACTATTTGGTGTTTGTTGTATAGGATCTGGAGTGGTGTTAACAAATGGATCGGAATGGTAGAGGCTGATATGTTGAACGAGAAGATCTTGTGAAGCAGTTGAGAAAATACACTGGGAGCATTCATAGATTGGTACCTGCTCCTCATCGACCTCCACCTTCCCCACCTGAATTGCATCCTCCCCTTCCACTGAGGCTGAAAGTTCCTCTAGCTGCTGGAACACAGTGTTTGGTTCTTCCAAGGATGATTTCGACAGCTCTACAGTGGAAATAAAAACATAATTGGAAGAGTTCATGTCAATCTCAACATTAAGAGACTGAATAAAATATTGTAGACAAAATGTGGAAGAGTGCAGAAATAAAAACAGATATGGAAAAAAAAAAAAAAAAAAACTTAAAATGGACTAAAAATATAAAAGAAGTGAGATAATTGAGAAGGATTTATAAATATCAGAGAAAAATATATTAGGGACAATTTGTAAGAGAAATTGTTTTATTTTTTTACAAGAATAAAAAAAAAATGTCTGCTTTTCATGTTGACCTTGAGCATGCAAAAAAGAACTTAACAACCAAATGATGATTTGTGGAGGTACTTCCACAAAATTGCTAAAAAATTAACATATGTTGAAAAAATACTCCAAACTTAACAAAAAAGTTCTTTTGTCAAAAAACTTTATGTTATTATTAAGAGAAAAGATCAAAGTATTTTTTTAACATTTAAATTTTTTACTCCTTTTTAGAACATTTAAAATTTTGATTAAAAATTTGTTTTTCTTGCATTAGCAGATGGACTATAAATTAACATAGCAAATTTTAGTGTATGTTTTGCAGTGGAAGACATTAATTTGGAAATTCTTGCAAAAATCATATAATTGCTACATTTTAATGAAACTTTCAGGACTTATTCACAAATGAATGAAATTATTTTAGAAATGTTTTCTTTAGAAAATATTGGGGAAAAATATATTTTTTTTACAAGTTTCACTCCACTTAATTTGATGAAAATGAGAAATTCAATGAAATCATTTTTAGTGACTATATTAGTTAAAAGCAGAACCCTTTGGAGAATTTTAATCATCAATTTTTTTAATTTTGTAAAATCAAACTTCGTATTACCAAAAATCTGTCCTGAATTATAAAATAAAAAACAAAATAAAACTATGACATTATTTAATTAGAAAAGCTTTTAATTGCTTTTACAAATTAATATATAATGGGGCAAATTAATATCTTTAAAAAAAAAATTCCGATGACAAAAAGTATTTTTACAATATTATTTAGAATAATTTATAAATTTATATAATTTATAAAGATTTAAAAATCTGTAAAAATTCAGTTTCAATAGTGTAAGTTTTAGAGAATATTGTCATGAAGTAAACCTATATTTACAAATCATATATCATAAAGCTTATTACATTCTGACAACTCCCAAGTATTTTTTAAAAAGTTTTGAATTGTTTTGTATGTATTAATGTGCCGATTTTTGTAGATATGGATGACCATACACAACATTATCAGAAAATAACAGTGATATAGTAAATTTATTCTCTAAAATTCAATAAAACAGATTACAGGGAATATTTTCTTAAATTCTTAAGATTACTGAGTACTTAAATGGCACGTGCATAATATTCTTCAATTATAATTTTTCAGGAAAAGATCCATAGAACAACATTAGATAAAAATCCATCTGTCATTGAGCTGTCACTGGAGTTGTTCAAAAGCTGTCAATATCAAGAAACAGCTACTGCCATGTTAAAAAATGCATTTCTGCAACATTTTAAACCTAAAGTAAATATCTGTTTCAAATAAGATTACTTTAAATCAGTTAATATTCCTCAAATAAAGTTTCAGAAAAGTATATTTTATTCTTGGAAGATTTTTTAATTTAAGAGATTTACATTTTTATAACAGTTTGATAAAAATGGTGTGAAATTCAAAAATTTTAGAAATTTCAAAACAAAAACTTCTTCCAATCAATTTAAATTGATTTTGAAATACAACATAGTATTTTGTTTAATAGGAAATAATAAATTTAATCTCTCAGCTTCAAATCGAAACTAAAATAAAAAGCATCAAGAAAGATTTTTCATTATCAAAAATTCTTTTTAAACCTGAGGTATCACGTTTTTGTGGATGTATCTAGATGTGTGTGTGTGTGTAGAAATCAACCACTAAAAATAGGTCAATTGTTCTGATGAACTTTCCTTAAATGGTACCTTGACTATGAATTTAAGCACAGTACTAGATTGGTGTCAAGATCTCAAAAATTTACAGTTTAAATTACAAGATGTAACCATAATTTCTATGCTAACAGTTTATTTTCTTGCATTTCTCGCTTGTGAAACTCTTTTCTGTTTTCTTGCTTTCCAGTCAACTTTGATTTTCAAAAATTTAAATGCAATGTCAATCATTATCATCTTTCTTCTTAATTTCTGTTCTTTTATTTTTCTCTCTCTTGAATAATGTTTTTCCTTTTCTTATAATCTTTCACAATTCAGTAACACCTGCATTTTAGTGGTTTTATTGACTTGCTTCGATTGAAAGGATTAAAAAACAAAAAGTATGCAACAAATTTCTTCTATTTTCTTTTGACAGTTCTTTACACTTATTTCCTTATAATTTTGGCTCTTGAGCTTCAATGAAAGGATTACAAAATCTACAGAACAGAAATTCTGTCAGTCATATCATTTCAGTAATTTACCAATTCAAATGTCACTGTAATGCTGACTTTGTACATAAAACAGGTTAAAGGGCAAAAGGTGGTCAATTTGCCTTGGTGCATGAATTGTTTGGACATTTGATTAAAAACCAGCCATATGCCCAGTCTTACAAATGAGACATGTCCTCAGTACTAATGTGAATTTCATTTGAAGGTGATTGAATCTGTTTACATTAAGCCTGACCAGCCAGCTCTCTATAAGCAGAAGGAATGTTTGGTAGGCTTAAATGTAATTAGCCTGCAAGTGTTATTTATATTTTTCAAAAAACATTTAGTCCTGGGTGTTCATTTTTAGTCATTGTGCACACTTCTTGTCCTCTATCTTAGCTCTGGTGAGAGGACCAATAAACCAGTCTAACTTACTTTTTTTTTTCTTTTTAATAGTGTTATATTTCAGTATTACCAATTTACAATAATAATTTTGTTTTCTTGTTACACACCTCATTTTTGTTATAAATATTCTTCTTTTTAAAATGTCTATTTTTATCACTTTAGCTACAGAACAATTAAAACAAACATCTAAAGATATGTGACATGGCTGGAGGAAAGTGTCAAACAAAGCAGCAGAAGGAGAAGCATCTAAGGAGAGACCAAAACTTATTCAGTGTCGATGATGATGATGATGATGACAAGACAGGATGAACAGCATTAACCAATAAGACTTTTCATGAATTGCTTCAATACATAATATAAACCTCCACCCTAACCCTGCTTCTTAGAGTTCAAAACAATTTTGGAGGTCTGTTTGATCTAAACATGTGTACACACACACGCACACACACACACAATGGAAGAGATGAGCCAGAAACTATCGACTAAGGCCTTGTCTACAAACTGACAGACACATTAGACTGACCATTCATAAAATAAATCTGTCCACACATTTTACACCACACTATGTACACTTAATTACTTTATAAAATAAAATTCCCCTGCAAGGAAAACTGAACATTATTATTGTATATTTCTGTAAAGAAAGCATAAATGTTATTTCAACTGACATTCTGTTTCTACTTTTCCTTCAGAAAATAAACTTTTTTATGTTTCATTTAAAAAATGTGTTGTTGTTCTTAAATGTTTAGAATACCGACACTCAGATAAGAAAAACCTAGGTAGATTCCAGCAGTTCTTTCTCCCCACTAAAGTTTTCTAATTCTCTTTCACTCCAAGTAAACCCTTGAGTCTTAGTGACATTATCACCTTGCTGAGGTAAAATGACTAAAAACAATGAAAAAGTTTTTTGATTTTATATATATATATATATATATTTGAGGTGTATATTCAGTGAAGAATAATAAAAAAATATATATAAATTATATCAAATAAACCTTATGACAAGATTAGACATACAAGAAAAAAATGGTGGCAATATTTTAATAATTTCACTTGGGTAATGGAATTATGAAGTCATGATAGCTGCTGCATATGTCAGACAACAGAATATATTACAATCAAACTGAAACAATTTTGTTCACTTGCCCAAAGAACCAAGTGGTCTGGTGTTATCTTGATAGAATATTAAACTGTCTCTTAAAAAATTTCAGATCCTTTCCAAAAATCATATTACTATAATTTGGTCTAATAATAAGAAGTACTTGTTCAAATCAATCCTTTGGTTCTCTGGAAGGTGCTCATAGCAGAGAACAAACAAGGCTTTCTTACAGCTCATAATGGTTCATACAATGGTGCCTCATAATGATTTCTACAAAATCTCTTGCATTTCACATTGCTACATCCCATTTTCATTACTAATTTCAATTTGTTAAATATAATCACACATATTTCTATGTGTGATTATATTGTTTGCTTTTTCACTAATGTGGAAGCCACACATCAAAGAGATTAACATGACTTTTAATGCTTGATTTACATAATTTAAAAATGTCGGCTGCCTTGCACATCCCATTCTCAGTTAATGTCTTGATTGTTTTCAATGTGGACTAACCAACCATGGAGCATCAGTCAGTCAGGTATCTCACAAACAAAACTTTGCAAACTACTTTTGACATGTTTGATCATTTACAGCACCTTCTCCACAAATCTGTTTTATTTTTTGCATGTGAGTCCCGATTTTACATTAAAAATGCTTAATATGCTAGAATGTTACTTATTTTCTTTCACCTTTAGGGCTAAAACTAATGAACAATGCAGTTTTGGCAAAATGTTTTTAAAATAAACAATATCACAATACAATTAAAAGTAAATTAAAAGGTAATTTTTGTAAAAAGTTAAAAGTAAACCATCCACATGCCATCAAACAACAAAAGAAAATAAACTTTGTTGGTTAGTTCATTGTTATAAGCCACCAAGAATTGCAGCAATAAAGATTGTTATTTATGGCACACAAAAATAATGTTAGAGATGAAATAAGTTTTCAAGTTATATAAAGAAGTTTGCACAACCAATCATTTCCCCACACCTGATAAACTCTTTTTCTTGCCAGGCAAAACTATTTCTTTCCTAACTTCCTATCATAAAAGGGCCACAAATTGTATAAAAAGAAAAAAAAATTAAATACAACATATATATATATAATT